ACATACCATGCCCACTGCCATGTTTCTTCTTCTCTTTGCAACTCTAACTCCTACATATCCTCTGGGTATCATCTCAAATGTCACTTCGATGTACAATCTTACAACACACTCTACTTCTTTGCAGCATTGGCATAATTATAAATTATTTTTCTTATTAGGCTGTAAGCTCCACAAGGACAGGGATCATGTATTATGCTCCTCATGAAAACCCTTCTGCTTAGCACGATGTTTGGCACATGGTAGATGTTGATCAATAGTGTTACAGCCTGGGACATGAGCATAATTACCAAACTGCCTCTAAACTTGTGGATACTCTATCACTGAAGGTCTCAAAATATGTTAACTAAAATGGATAGCCACAAAAACAAATTTTACTTATAATTACATTGTTAGTACTCTCTCTACTCACCTCCCACCCAAATAGCAATCAGGAAAATAAGACAAAGCTTTCCAAATAATATTGAAATTAAAATTTCCTTTCAAACAGTTCTTTGTTCATGATTAAAAAATAATTGATCTTTAAGACCACATAAAACAAGCATGCTACAATTGAATGGTTGCCTATCAAAATGTGATCTTCTGACTTCAGTGATAATGCTTGCCTTTGAAAGGATCAAAAGAAAAACTTTCTAAAGACACACTTGCATAGCAAGGAAAAATGCATAACATTAATACTTTGATTCTTTCCAATCTTTACCAGAGTGGTTTAACATGTAAATATGGCCTTTGTTTTTCAAGATCTTACCTACTCTCTTTATTCACTTCTCAAAGGACAGATCAATAGATGAGATTACAGCTCCCTATGATATAATTAATAAATTAATATCATACACTTGAAAAAGCTACTTTTAATCACCACCTGGGGGGAAAGATAAAGAGCCTAAGCCAGGTTTTTTTAGCTGTAGGAACTAAAGATTAGAGGGAAAAATTAGAGAATGTGATAGAATAAATTCTCCTGTTGAAACTGCAGTACCACATATTTTTTTAAAAATTAAAAACATAAATGTTTTTATGATCATCAGTCCCTTCAAGTTAGGACTGAGGAAATGACTTGGTGCAGGAAATGATTTAAATATTAAAATTAAATGTATTTAAGTATTTTGCAGTTTGATTACTTCTAAGTAATTAGGCCATAGGTTTTTCACAACTGAGACACATTACAACCTTTCCACTAGTGCAAAATTAGGAGTTATGTAGTATATACAAGTAGAAGATTTTAAAAATATATTTTTGAAGTACTATAAAGAGCAATTTATGAAAAGGATAGTCATTGGTTATGTCAAGGTACTGAGCTAGAGTAGTGAAAATGTGGACTCTGATTCAGACTACATCATTCATTAGCTTTATGAGCAAGTCACCTAGTTTCTGAGTCTTGTTTCTTTACATAGAAAATGGACTAATTCAAGGATTGAGATTATGTGAAAACGAATATAAAATGTCTAACAACACCAGATACACTGTGGCTTTTCTAACAGACATGCACAATATCAGAGGGCTAATTACAGATGAGGTGAAACACTGACCAGAAGTTTAAATTGTTCCAAAGGAATAGTAACTAGAAAAAAATGCCTAATGACTTTGGACTCATATTATCTTTCTTAAATTACATTTTTTCTTCATTGGTAGCTACCAAGGCCTATTTATTCAGACATTTGTAAACTATCACAAACAAAATAAGGCAAATAGAAATCTAGGGACTGAATACAAAAACTGCTGACCCAAACAAAGCAAATCAATCCTCTTGACCATGCCCATGGTAGTCAGATTCATGCCAAACAGTTCTCCTTAGATTATCCTTGTCTAAACATTGTATATTACAGGAATTATCTGGTGTCATCAACAGATCATGAAATACCACAGACCAGAACAAGGGGTCTCTTACTATCTTGAAACTCCATAGATTTTGCAGCAATTCCTTAAATTATGGTAGAAAATAATTTACTTAATAAATTGTTGACCAAAGAAACTTCCTACACACATTTTATAAGACAACAGTAATCAGAAGTTTATTTTTATTAAAATTTTGCAAAAACGGGGCAGGGGGAAGGTATAGCTCAGTGGTCAATTGAATGCTTAGCATGCATGAGGTCCTGGGCTCAATCCCCAGTACCTCCATTTAAAAAAAACCTAATTACCTCCCTCCCCCAAAAAATTTTGCAAAAATGAACCTGCACAATTTAGTGCCTCAAAATTTATCATTTGCCTTCCCTGAGAACTTTTCTTTTCAACAAATCTGGACACTAACTGCCTAAGAAAATTCAAACTGTCTTAAAAATACATAATCATCCTTTCTCTGTATCCTCCCTAACAAAAGAGAGGCACTAAATGTAATTTCATTGCATCTCATTCACAAGTTCTGACTTTTTTTCCAAGCTCTTTTATTATCCAATCAAGACAGTTCAAACATACATGGACACTTTAAAACTTTTGTTAACCACTAAACATTTTACTATTACATAGTTAAAACATTAATATATTCTGAGTTTGTGACTTTTAATACAAGTTGTTAAGGCAATCATGTAACATTTTGGTAAACCATATCAAATAACATATTGAAGTTCATTTCTTATTCACATTCTACAAACATCTCTAATTCACAGAATTTCACTAATTTTAGAGTTTCCTGAATTAGAGATGTGAAGGCTACAGAAAACTGAAAAAGTGCCTTATAACCTCAATATATTTTATGAACCTCAAGCATTGTAAAGATTACTGAAAAATCTACCAAATGAAATGAATGGCATTTGTTACATTAAAAGTGAAATTTTCCTTCCAAAGTCACCAAAACCATTCCTTAATATCAAACCAAAAATTGTTGTAATTTGTAGGGTGTGTGTGTGTGTGTGTGTGTGTGTGTGGTGCGTGCGTGCGCGCGCACGCGCTAAATGTCACGGTGGTATAATCTTCTTTGGATGTATGGCTGTTGAAAGCTGAGTTGTACAAAAGAAATCTTTAGAGAACAGAGGCTTTTCTTTACATATTTATTCCCAGAGCCTGCCCTTCATCTCATTTTGGTTTTCCACACTGATCCAATTGTAGCACTTCCTGGAGCGAGCTATGTTCTAATCAGCAACATCAGGAAGAGAATCGGACAAAGCCAAATGAGAAAATGCAGATCTCATGTCATGCTCTTTGAAAACAGTGAAAGCTTTCTCAGCTATCAGGCAATATTAAGTCACAATTTAACTTTTAATAATTTTTACCTGTAATGGCCATGAACAGGAAATATGGAATGAGTCCTTCATCTATTCAAAGGGGCACGATTTCTATTGAGATGAGCACCATGTAGCAGAATTCTACTTTGTTCTCTGTCCTATATAGTTGCACTGACCTTAAAACCTCATTAGAAGGCTATTCAGTAGTGATGCTTGGGTATCTCCATGGAATGGTGAATCAAAGGACATACAACCTAGAGGCACTAAATCACCTAACATTACTTCCTGTTAAGAATTTTTTCCTTATAATTGTTGAAAAGCTACTGAGTTAAAGCAACCATGCTGACTCCCCAAAGATAATGGTTCAAACCCCCAAATGAAACAGTTGCAATCTTCTTGAATTGCCAAAAAGAAAAAAAAAAAAATCAATCACTTAAAGACAACTCGGACCGCATGTTAAGTCACCTCTCCAAAAACATTAACATCCTACATACTAGTTTTGTCCGAATCACCCACCGGATCGAAATACTGGCAAGGGTGGCTGCAGGAGTCGTCCCATCCATACCGACTTCCTTTTCTTTAGGGATTCGGGCGCTTGCGTGACCGGAGGGCGAGGCAGCTTGAAATAGACCTTGACCGAGTCATAGATGAACCACTGCAGCGCAGTCAGGGTGCCAATCATGATGATGCGGGCGAACAGGCCCTTCCACACGCCCCAGAGCCCCAGTTTGTGGAGAACCGCGAAGGCTGTGCTGCCTTTCTCCTTGTTTAAAACGGACACGACGGAATCGGCGGGGTGGGACACGACGGCGCAGAAGACGCCAGCGATGTAGCCGGCCACGAAGGTCACAGCCAGCTGCTGGGCTTTGGTGCACTGGCTCTGGGGCTTGGGCACGACGTACTTGTAGAGCGCCTCGACGGTACGCTCAAAGCAGGCGAACTTCATCATGGTGTAGGGGATCTGCCTCATCCAGAGCGGCGCCACGCCTTTGTAGAAGGCCCACAGGCCCTCTTCGCCGTACATTCTGGGGGCTGCGGCCCGAAGAGTGCGGGCGTAGCCCCGCTGCGTCTGCATGCGAACCTTCACCGCTTCCATCGGCGCCAGGGCCACGTCGGCGAAGAACTCGGCGCTGGCCGAGGCCGCCAGGTACAGGCTGGTTCTACACTCGTAGGCCTTCTCCTGGCCCAGGAGCTGCGCATAGCGGATCTTGAAGACCTCGTAGAGGCCGAACTTGAAGAGGCCCTGCAGGGAGTAGCCCAGGAAGGTCGGGGCCCAGCCTCGGGCCAGGCCGCGCAGCCCATCGTCCCGCACCGTCACGCCGAAGCCGCTCAGGATGCCCCTGTACTTGCTGGGATCCACCTGCATGCGGCACTTGACCAGGTCCAGGGGCACGACGGCCGTGTGCGTCACCCCACAGCTCAGCATCCCGCCCAGGCCGCACAGCCGCAGGTACTTCGTGGAGCCGTACTCATAGCCGGCTTCCTCCGTGGCCGCCGCCGCCCAGGGCCTGCCCTTGAGTAGGCCCGCGCTTCTCGCCTGCAGGGCTCGGTAACCGCCAGCATCACACATGGCCAACACTTTCCCCAGCCGGAGCTCTTCCCTCCCTCAGCTGACGTGGCGCAGCGCGCATGCGTCTGAGCTTCCCGCGAGAGCCTGCCAACCAAACGGTCCGGGTGAGGGACGGGACCCACCAGTGCCCCACAATGCTCTACTGGCGCCTGCGCAGCCGCTACCTGCGGGACTGCTTTGGGGTCGCCACCCGGCTCTGAAAGTTTAAGTAGGAGAACCGCCCCGCCCCTCACCTCCAGGACCGCTCTTCGCCCCGCCCTCACGCCTTCGGGCGAATGGGCTTCCGGTGCCCGCAGGAACCCCGCCCCTCAGCCTTCCCCAGCCAATGGTTAGTGGTCCTTAGCGCTCACCTTGGTAAATCTTCAGGTGCTCAAAGCGGCTTCTGTCCAGTTCAGCGGCTTAGTTCTCTACAAAGATGCTAAAAAAATAAATCAGCAAGTACAAACATGAGTAAACACATGAATAGGCAAGTAAATAGATAAGGAGGTGAGTGAGAAGACGAAGAGTCGCCATGCACCGTTGCCTTCCTGAACGGCCTTTCCTTAGTCTTCACTAAACCGTGCCCACTTATGGTAACGGTCAGTCATCTCCATGGCCACAGATGTGTTCTATGGAGGCAATGGGCAGAGAGAACCAAGAACCTAGCATTGGCGGCCCAGCCTCTCAGCTTCCAGCCTTAACATTCTTATCTGGCAGATTGGGAGGGTATCTCCCCCAATACCCACACTCCACTCGTTTCCCTCCAGGAGTTGTGAGGGCTTAGGAATCATGGAGGTACTCACTAAATTGAGAGAAGGGTGCTGATTATTTTCATTCAGTAGGTGTTTTTTCATTGACTACTGAATCCCTGTCATGATTTTGGAGATTAGGAAAGTCAGTCAGAAGTCCTCTCTTTCTGTAGGGAGTGTGCAGTCTCACTGGCCTGGAAAATGAGAACTAAGTGACTCCACAGGTAAATCAGTAGCAGACATTCATTCATCAACCATTGTGTGCTGGGCCCTGTGCAGGGTTAGGGGTTTAGCAAAGAGTCAGACATATTCCTGCTTACTTCTAAACAAGGAGATTAAAAAATCAGTATTGTGTGATAAGTATTATAACAGGAGTTTGATTAAAGTTCTGGATGAACAATGAGGGGCAACTAATTCTGCCTGATGTGGTTAAGGAGACTTCCCAGAGAAGATGACAATGCAGCTAGCTCCTGAAGGATGAGTAGGAGTCAGCTATGTAAAGAAGAATGGGAAGGTAATTCCAGCTTAAGGGAAATATGAGTGCATGACCTATTAAGGAGAGGTGAGTAATTCAGCGTGATAGAAACCAGCAAGGGTTGAGTCCGGAAAAATAGAATTGGGTCAAATTAGGGAAAACCTTAATACCTGTTTAGGACTTTGACTTTTATCCTGTAGGGAGGCTAGTGTTTCTTTGAGTGTGATCCATAGACCACCTGCATCAGAATTACCTGGAGTGCTTTATTTAAAATCCCAAACTGACACAACATTATAAATCAACTAAACTTCAATTTTAAAAAATGAGAATACAAGGGTAAGACTATGCAATTTTAATAAGCTCCCTTGGGTGGATTCTTCATGAAACTTCACTAAAGTCTGAAAAACGCAATATGTGAATATTGGGAGGTCAAGAATTTTTTTTAAGATTCTCTGATTTACTGCTTATATCCTGAACTGGATGTGTACATAACTCTGAAAATTCATCAAGTTGTACACTGAAGTTTAGTGCTCATTACACACTTTAAGCATGTTACACCATAATTTTTAAAAAATTGGCTGGGATGATGGCCAGAGGGAGAGGAGAGGCAGATACAAGACTTCTCAATTAACAAGTCTTACTGAACTCCTGTCCTTATTGTTGTCTTATACTAGCGTTAAAATTAAACAAGGCCATTAGACTGAGGTGGCTTTAATGCCTTAGCAACTTCTGTAAGGAAGCTAAAACCTAAATTGTAATGCCTCAAGGCTAAGAAATTGAAACCAATTATAAATGGCCTAGTTGTGCCAAATAAGGCAAACACTTAAGCTACAGCCAGTCAAATAACTTCCTTGTTTTGCTCTGACATCTCTATAAAAGTCTTTCCCCAGCTCCTGTCATTGGAGTGCTTCTAACTACTTCCTGTTTGGTGCCGACTGGAATGGATTTTTGCTCAAACACACTCTTAAAATTTTTAATATGCCTCAGTTTATCTTTTAACACCAGGAATTACAGTAATAAAGAGAAGACTGTCTTCTTGAGTCATAAGAAAACAATGAAGTGTTAAAATATTCCATGCTGACTCAATCAGGGCTTCCCAAAGTGTGTTCCCAGGAATATTGGTCTACTTGAAAAAGGTCAATGGTCCAAGAAGTTTGAAGGGCATTTCACACTAGAGTGTTCATTCTCAACTGAGATGATATCATCCCCAAGGGGGTGAAAATTGGTTCTTAGGGGGCAAAAAAATCTTAGTACAATGGTTTGTGGCCTTCCAAAGCTCAACTCCACCCAACAAAATCTTACTCATTATTTAATTTCAGGTTGGGGAAGGGGACTGGAGAGTGTCAGGGGGGACAGAAAAGGCCATTAGGAAAATAAAGTCTTAAAAGGCTCCTGGGGAAGGAAGGCCAATAATGAATAAAAAGTTGAGAAACACTAGAGCTTCCTTTTAAAGACTCCCATATTAAAGAGAAGTTCCATAGTAAAGAACTTCAACTTTGTTAACTTAGGGTTCCATAATCTTACTGGATCTGAGAACCCATATTTTATATAGTATCTATTTACTTTTCACAGGCATAATTTTCCAGAGAGCATATTTTGGGAAATGCTGGACTCTATCAAAAATGGAGTTTAGAGAAAATAAGGAGAAAAGAGGTCTAGAGTAAGAATAGTGGCTCCTGTTTACCCAGGCCCCTAGTTCCTTAAGGTACAACTCAGATATTGCTAAAGAAAATGAACAAGTTGAAGAAACCAGTCTAGAAATCTTCAGGGCCAGAACTTTATTAGACAGTTCAATGACTTTATTGAAACACAGCCATAAAATCAGAAACAACTGGAAGGAGCCTGTAAAAATATTTTGCCATTACAGAGAACACAGTTACCACTATTAAGTTTATCTCCTTGGCAATTATGTAATACAGGGCAACATTTCTGTCTTGAAATCATTACTACACATTTGCTGTGTTCTTCTGCTAACTTGAATTGAAAAGTAGACCTTTCCACAGGGCCAGATGTAGACTTTTATGTTTTCTTATTTGTTATACTTACAGAGAAGAAAGTTAAAATGTATTCATTCATTCAACAGATTTTTATTGTTTCTATTATGTGCCAGGCACATTTTAAATTAATACACCAAAGCAGAACATTAAGCCCATAGTGTCCTCAAACAGATATTTTCCTGAGTTCTAAAGCAGAATCACCGATGGCCCAGATACAACAACAGCAAACCCTTCTTGGGCACCTGCTTTTTGCCAGGTTATTTAAATGTCCCTAATCCTTACAACAACTGTATAAGGTAGATATTCTTCCCATTTTTAGATATGAGTGGCAGACACTTTTCTACCCAAAAGCCAACTGCCTATTCCTCTTTACTACAGAACCTCTATTTGTTCAGGTGTCTGGCAGATATCCTTTGACCTCTACATCATATTTGCTCACTTTCCACTCATGACATTTTAATTTGCATGTAGGACATTTGATTTTCATCCATAAATACTTAGGCCCATTAGTGGTTTCTCCACTCCAATTACATAAATATTTATCTGTGCACGATGTCCCCACCCCTGTGTCCATGCCTTTGTGTGTGTCTTTCCACTTTCCTCTACCAGTTCATGTCATCGTTCAGAATCAGGGGCAAAGTATGTATGCCAGAAAACGTTCCTTTATTAACCAACCTCTTTTGTGTTTTTCTGGTAATTACTGTTTCAGTAGTTTGCCAGACATTCATGTGTATTTAATCTGGACTGGCAAATTGCCATTTTAAAAAACTGTATAGGAAATACTTCGGACGAGACTGTAAGAACTCTGCTTACTTTGTTTGTGTATCAGCTCATGGTTCACTGTCCTATCCAGTCTCAGTGAGGGTTGGCCAACTCACTTATCAGTGAAAGTGAACTGGAGTAGTTGCTTGAATTATTTTCTAGCTTCAGCGTGTATAGTGAACTTAGGCAGGTAATCTCATCCCCCATCATGAATCTCTATATCCATCATAAACATTTGGAAAATAGTTTTTGGTATGTCATTTTAAAAAAAATCACATGAAGGACATTGGAATTAATAAATTTAAGTTCTTAGGAACTGAATGGGAGGGGGAATTCAATGTTTATTAAGCACTGCTGTGTGTCAGACACTGTATAATGGAAAAAGTCACATGCTTTGAGCAGAAGTAAATTCTGAGTTCACCTTTGTTTCTAGCTGTTTGACTTTAGACAAGTTATTTAGCCTCATTCTGAGCTTTATTTATTAATTTATTTTCAACATCTGTAATTAGGACAAATTATAGCTTTTTAGATTTGTTATAAGAATAGATAATGTGCCCAAAATACCTGGCCCAGTGCCCTGGGCATTAATGAGCATCCCATGAATGTCAATTCTGTTACTCACCCCTCTTTCCTGCCCTCCTTAATCCTCTCAGAACCCATATTTCTGTGATGCCACAATCTCTGCTCTTTCCCGTCTACTTGAGTGGATGATTTATTCAGTTAACTAAATTCCAACTGACTTAGATGATTTAGGGCAGGAACTGAGGAAATCCTAAGTGGCAGAAACGTGAACTTCTTTGACAGTGCCCCAGGACATGTCATGGTATTAGACAAGTAGAACAGAGATTGCTCACCTGTGGCACAAAAGCCGGGGCCACAGAAAGGAACGGGACTGAGGACTGGGCAGCCTTTCTCCTTTTCCAAACTGACCCTTTCAGCCTAATGCTTTATTCAATTGAATTCTAGCAAAGGCTACCAACTCGTTCCAGTTTGCCCCCAGGTTTTCCTGGTTGTAGCTCTGAAAGTCCAGTTTCCCCAGAACTGTCTCAGTCCCAGGCAAATCAGGACCATTGGTTACTGTACTTACAGGAGTCTGAGCTGTGCCAATGGCTTCCAGCCACTGCCAGCGTGCTGTGGTGTAAGAATCACTGACTGGTCTTGGAGCCAGGCACACCTGGGCCCAAATCCTGGCTCATTCCACTTCTGGCTATGATTCTTGTAAAAATCATGTTTCTTGAACCTCGGTTTCTATATAAACTTCATCCTATTCTTTCCTGAATTTGTAATAAACTTCATGTTATTATTAAATTAAATGCTAGCACAGTGCTTGCAATGTTATACACCCTCAGTGAATGCTAGTTCTTTC